AGGAAATGCTGGGTTTCTAGAAGTTCTTTTAGAGATGTAAGGACGCTCGTTCCCAGAGGAAGCCTCCAGAAAATTCTCCTTCGTGTCTCTTCTACCTACGCTGAACACCTCAGGCTCACTCTGTGATGCTAACTGTGAGTGTATGCCACTTCAGGCGTGAACTCCACAGCAGAGGAGCTGGCTCGGAGGTCTGAGGCTTGAGCTTAGGTCAGTGCAGCTGCCAAGGACGGGATCTGAATGTCTCCAACGCCCTGGCAATCCAGACCCCCTTCCTGGGCAGGAATATGGGGTAGCAGCAAACAAAGGGGATGGTTTTAAAAGTACACTTGGATGGCCCTTCCCTTTGTTCTAGCATCGTCAGAGAGGACCACATGACTGCCTTTCTTTGTGAAGCTCATGCCACAGTTATTCCTGGCTGACGTCATTGCAGGCTCAAGGCCATTAGTGATGCAAAACAGCTCTCCCTAGCCTGGCTTTATCAGCAAGTGTGTGGTTGGTAGGGCAGCGGTCGCTCCCTCAGGGAGTGTGACAGCTCTTTATGACAAGTGATCATTTCTCTGCTTAAAAAAAAAAAGGTACTTTAAATTTGTTGGAAATGATTCATATGTTATTGGAATCGTGCGTGGGTCATGTAGTTTTGTAAGGACAATTGTCATGGCCGCATATGACCCATAACTTGATAAACGTAAGAGAAGGGTAAGGAGGATACAGGTCTTTGTGCTTGCTCTGTAGTGGCAGACTTTACAAACCATCCAATTTACTGTTTGTCTTCTTGCTTTTTGTCATCTTGAGACAGAGTCCGTTGTCCAGGATAGCCTATTGCCATGCAGCCCAGGCTACCCTTGAACTTGTGATTCTCCTGCCTTAGCTTCCCTAGTGCTCGGATTACAGAGACGCACCTCCATGCTCAGAACAATAGACTCCCTTAAAGTACACAACTGATGGTTTTCTTCTTTAAAGAACTATCTAGTTATTTTTATTGTGTGTGTGAATGTTTTACCTACATGTGTGTATGTGTTCCGTGTTCGTGCATGGTGGTCTCAGAGGCCAGAAGAAGGCACTGGATCCCTTGGGGCTGGAGTTACAGATGGTTGTGAGCTGCCAATGAGCACGCCATCGAATCAGTGTTCTCAATTTCTGAGACGTCTCTCCGGACACCTTAGTGATTTTCTTATATCCACAGCTTTCCAGCCATCGGGACCATCTACTGGAAACCATTTCCATCTTCACTACCTTAAAAACCCCAATATTCTTTATGCATCACCCCCAAATTCTCCCAAATCCCCAGCCTTAAGAAGTCATCAATCTACTCTGTCTTTTATATGTGTTTTATTTAGTGTGTTTGTGTACATGTCCTTGCTTTCCTCTGTGTGCGTGTGTGTGTGTGTGTGTGTGTGCGTGTGTGTATGTGTAGGCCAGACGTCTGCATCAGATGTCTTTCTCAATCACTGTTTACTTTAGCTTTCGATTCAGGGTCACTTACCAAACCTGGAGCTTACCAATTCGGCTCAGCTGACTGGACCGTAAGTCCCAGCAATTGTCCTGTTGCCGTTTTCCCAGTGCTAAGCTTACAGGTGCCCACAGATGGCCCCCAGCTTTTTACATGGTTGCTGGAGATTGGAACTCAGGTCTCCACGCCTGTGCGGCAAGCACCTTACCAACTGAGCCATCTCCCCAGCCCCCGGGTGTGTTTTAAGGGATGGTTTGCCAGCAGACAAGAAAGGGAAGTCATGCTCTTTCGTAGAAACAGGCCTAGTGTAGAGGGTTGTCACACAGCATCGCACATTTAAGGTATGTTTTTAGTTGACTACACTTTTCTCAGGTGTGCTTAGTTCTGTTGACTTAACAACTCTTGGTGACTGAGGGGTGCATTCTGGGAAGGTGGTGGGTGCGGGGTGTGTGGCTGGGCTGGGCTGGGAGGATATGATAGGTATGGGTTTGGTTTGGTGGGTGGAGGGGTTGAAAGCCTAGCGTGTAGAGGAGGCAATGACCTGCAGAGCTTGTGGGAGCCAGATCTGCCAAGGTCTGGGAGTTAATCTGTCACGGCCTGACCATTGGACTCAGACTCCTCTGAGTCAGTCATGCTGACCCCGAGGAACTGGATGAGGGATAATGAGGAATCAAGTTTTAAGGTGAAATTCCTGTTTCTTCAAATCTCTCCAAGGCCAGAGGAGGTTAAAACATTCTCCTCCTCTTCCTTCTCCTCTTCCTCCCCCTCCTCCTCCTCCCCCTCCTCCTCTTCCCCCTCCTCCTCCTCCCCCTCCTCCTCCTCCTGGGCCTTGGCCTCCAAAACAAACTGGAAAGAAACCTCAGCAGAAGGTTGCTGTGATTGGCAGCTGACCTCACACAGGGCACCAGCAGGGAAGGCCCATCCCTTGATTGTTCCCTTGTGTGTCTATGGGGACCCAGAGACCTGATTCCTGCTGTACTCTAGTGACCCATGGTAGGTATGTGCCCCTTCCTAGGCCTCATTTTTCTCACATGTACAATGGGAGCTGGCAGAAATGACCCCGTGACATCAGGCTGTCCAGCCAGTGGTTTCTGGTTTGCAGGGTGTGCCCTCAGAATACCAACTGTCCTTACTTGTATCCGAGGTCCAGCTCTCAGCCACATGGTGAGGGGAAGCTTGAGGGTCAACTTCCCGGCCAGGAGCAACTGGAACTTGAATCCCTACTGGGTTGCTAGTTAGCATTGTGACTCTGGGCAAGTAGCCATTTTGGCTGAACCTCAGTTTCCTCCTCTGTAGTTCAGGAAAGTTTTTTAACCTCCCTGGTAAGGGCTCTGTGAGGATGAAGAAGAACCACGTAAAACATGCACACAGCAAGCATCCGGTCTATCCCACAGACACAGGTGGGCCTGGCCAAGGCTACCCTTCAATGTCACCTTCCCTGGGGTACTGTCTCCGAGCTTCTGAATCCAGGCCTCTCGGTTTCTGTTAGATGGCTGACCTGCTACTCACAGAAAGCATATTTAGAGGGCTTGGGAAAAAATCCAGGGTCAAGGGCCCAGAGGCCAGGGTCCAAGAAGCCTGTGGGACAAGCTTCAGGATGCTGGACCAGGCCCATGCCCTCGTTACTGGGGCCCATCCTTCCTTTAGCAGAACTTTCTGTGAAGGTAGTGTCCTCCTGCCTCCGTGCGCCCTGGATGCCTCTGTCCCCTGCCCCAGCTCCAGCCTGCCTTACCTGCTCCCTCCTACCTCCACCTGGCCTCTCATTTCCCTCTGCTGTTTCCTGCTAGCCTGGACTTTCCTTAGTTTTCTCAGAAGAAGGGCAGTGAGTTTCTGAGAAGAGGCATGGGAATTCACACCGAGACAGCCTGGCCCAGAACACTCAGCTGTTTTGATGAAAGCCCTGACTGTGTTAATTGGCCCGGTAAGTTGAGAGTCAGGTGGCTGCTAACCTGAATCAGCAGGATGGGATGGGAAGGGCTGTTGTCTTTGCTGGGATGCACTGTGATGAACTTCTGTCCCTTCCCGGCCACATGCTAACACAGAGCTTTTCAGGGCCACAGGATTCCAGCTTCCTTCCCATGCACACATTCGTACACATTTACATTTCCCTCCGTCTCGCTCCCTACCCTGAATCTCTCTCATTTTTTGAGATAGATTTTCATATAGCCCAGACTGGCCTCAAATTCATAGCCACAGCTGACTGTGAGCCTCCCAGAAGCATCACTATAGCCGATGCCTCCTGCATTTTCTTAGCCGGTGTGTCCTCTGTCCACAGTGGCAAGCCACTCTCCTTCTCCCGGTACCTAAGGAGAGCAAAAGCTGCACCAAAGCTTAGCTTGGTTTAACTCAATGAGTTGGGGTTTTCTTTTTAAAGACACCCTGTTTTTTATAAGAAGAATAATCTGTTGGGAAAAAGAACCCACATATTTTTATTAGTCTTTTCATGGAATAACATTCAGTAAAATTAAAAACAAACAAACAAACAGACAGTTGAACCAACCAAGAGCTAGGCTTGGTGACCATGCCTTCAATCCCAGCACTTAGGAGACAGAGGTAGGTAGATCTCTGTATGTGTGAGGCTAACCTGATCTACATAGCGAGTTCCAGGCTAGCCAGGGCTACATGGTGAGACCCTATTTAAATCAATGACAAGGGTATATGTAGCTCAGTGAGTTTTGACATGGGTAAGCATGAGCTGAAGAAAGAAAATGCCGAGCGGGGTGTGGTAGAGCATACATACCTATAATCCCAGTACTTGGGAGGAAGAAAAGGTGGGTTGCCTAGGCTAGGTAACATAGTAAGATCCTGTTTCCAAAAGCAAAAGAAGAAAGAGCATTTCTGGCACAGTGGTGCATGCGTATAAGCCCAGGACTCGGGACACTGAGGTGGCGGGATCTCAAAAACAAGATGAAAATAATAAAGCAACACTTGCTAGTTCAGAGAACATGGACTATGTTTTGTTTGACAAGAAAAAGGAAGTAGAACTTTAAGACGTAGGGAACTACTCAAGATCATCTAATAATCAATCATTCGTAAGTCCTGGGGCCACGAGAAAGTGGTCTGCTGTCCCACTGCTGGCCATGTGGTCAGTCTCTCCTGACCTGTGACCTCAGGCTACCGCTCATCTGATGACGATGTTTGTCAGTACCGGACCTCTACCTAGCAGCCAGCAGAAGGCCTTTTCCTGTAAAGCCGCAGGCAATGAGAACAAATCCAAGTGCTAAAAAGGACCTGGAGCTCAGACTGGAATCCCAGCCTGGAAGGAACTAGCGTCAGTCGGGAGGCTTGAGCCTCCTTTTCTTCCCCTGAGGGTAGAGATAGCAAACTTGCCTTTTAGGGTATCTAGAGGGTAGTGATCTTGGGGGCCCATCGGGTGGATACTGATGTCAGAGGCCTGGAGCCTTCTGCCTGTGTTTGCTTATCCTGACTACAAGATCTGTCAGATAGTGTTGGAAAGTTCACTCTCTGAGTTTGGGAGGGGCTGTGTGAGCCCAGCCCTCCGGAGGAGGAGGAGGAGGGGGTAGGTCAGCGCTCCCTCGGCTTCTCTCCCGGCCTTGAGCTAGTGGTTATAAATGTGGAGGTTAGGGTAGAGACAGGCGCACAGCGAGAAGTGGCAGTCGTGTGTGAGTACAGTATGCTGGCCAAGGGACTCTCCTTGCGCTCAGTGCTGGTCAAAGGTTGCCAACCTTTCTTGAGCCCTACCAGGCAGGGTCCAGTGCTGGCCATTGGAGGGGAAGCTGGCATCTCTACTAATAGTCCTCGGCCTTTCAATGAGATCCCTTCCCCCAGTGACAATGGCTGGCTAAACCTGTACCACCTTTGGAAGAAGAATGGCACACACAGAATCCACTATCATCAAGTACAGAATTTCCAGAAGTACGGCCCCATTTACAGGTAAGCCTGGCAGAGGACAGAGGCAGGCATGAAGGGAGACACAGGGCTCCAGACAGGCTCAAAAGTTCTGCTTGGGGTCTCAGACTTGTGTCTACGTTCTTCATTTCTTCGAGTCTAGGGATGGTGGTAAGAGAAGCATAGACCCTCCCAATTTATGGCCCCAAGATTTCAGCTTTTTATTTTCCCATTTCCTTGCAAGAAGGGATGTGAGCAAACACACCCTAGTGCCCCCCTCTCCTACCATCCTCCAGACAAAAGGACTAGCTGGCAGTCTCTACCTTCAGGGGAGAGGTAGGTTTAGGTTCCCTGACTACTGGCTAAGCTCCCACCCTGCTTCAGGGCCAACCTCAGCTCCAGGCCCTTTGTGACTCCACACAAGTTGGTTTCCTAAGCATCTTCTAGGAGCAATGCCCTTGCAGTCCATGGCTTCTGAAATCTCAGGGTCTGTGGCCTACCCTTGCTTAACAGTACTTGTGGTCAGAAGTCTGTAGGCTACTTGTGGGCTTTTCTTTTCTTTTTTTTTTTCTTTTTTTGGAGCTACTTCAAGAGATGGGAGGTGCGGCAGTCGTCAGGGAGTGTGAAGGGTGATGCATTTCATCCTAAATGACAAGCTCCTGAGCTCTGCTTTCAGGCTGTCCCAGTCAGAGTGCCGTATCCCACCAGCTGCTCTCGCAGTCACTTCACCTGAGTGTGGTGCTGTGTCCCTTGAAGTTGGCGTTATCGCCCCCACCGTATCCCCATTTTCTGGAAAGAGAAGGGACTGACCAAGGTCGTAGATCATCAGACTTAAGCGAGTACTGGAAATCCAGTTTGTGCAACGCCTTGCTCCACAATCAGGTTGATGCTGCAGTTTATAGACTGGAAGGTAGCAAGCACTAAACGGGAGGAACTTAAAGCACCGCCCTCATGGTCCCCTCACCCCCTTACCAAGAAGGCTCTTTGCAGTCTTTGGAGAACAGTTGAGAAAATCAGGGACGCATGAATGAATAATTGAAATCACATCCATCCTTAACCTATATGATCCTTTAGTACCACAAAGATTGACTGCTGTGTGTGTCTGTGGAGTTGCTTCCCCAGTGTTTTCAACAGTTTTCCTCTTCTCTCTATCTGTTTTTTTTTTGTTTTTTTGTTTGTTTTTCAGACAGGGTTTCTCTGTGTAGCTTTGGAGCCTGTTAGACCAGGTCGGCCTCAAATTCACTGAGATTCACCTGTCTCTTCCTCCTGAGTGCTGGGATTAAAGGTGTGCGCCACCACCGCCTGGCTCCTGTTGTCTCTTTAAGACAATTTAAAATAGCAGTACAGTAGTCCATGGTGTATGCACAGCTATGTTTTGAGGACAGACTTTAAGTGAGCGCTGAGCCTCAGCGCCCTTAGACACAATGTTCTGATGAGTGTCTGTCTTTCAGGTATTCTGTTGATGTCAGATCATCGCCCTGGGCTCAAGTCTCAGAAGTGAGACTGATGATCCTGACAGCACTTCAAGGCCTTTTAGAGTATAGCAAATATGGGATTGGATAGCGGAAGCTGGAAAAACACTGAAGGGGTGTTTTCTAGAGGCCATGAACAAGCTGAGGAAGGCCATGGCTTGTGAAGGTGGGCCTGGGCTTAGACTCTGTGGCAAAAGCCGTGCTTCCAGGAGGGGGATGAGGAGAGGGAGGGAGAAATTAGGAGAGAAGGAACATGCACACACACACACACACACACACACACACACACACACACACACACACGGGAGGGAGACTTGAAGTAGGGTGATGAAGTGGTCAATAGGGAAGGAGCCAGAGATAGGAGAGAGGAACCAGAGATGGAAGGACAGAGATAGAGAAATAAAGGGGGGGAGTGAGGAGAGGAGAGAGAGAGGAAGGAAGCTAGAAAAAGGGAAAGAGAGAAAGAGAGAGAGAGGAAGAGAGGAAAGGAAAGGGAAAGGGAAGGGAAGAAGGAGTGTCAGAAAGGGGGAGAGGAAGGGGAGAGGGAACACCTGAATTGTGTCTTAACAAAATCTATATTCAGTGGATCTTTCTTAGGCAAAAGGTGGTGTAAACAAGAGGCAGACTCTCCTGTGGCTTTTTGATAGTTGACTGTGTGTGTGAGAAACACGGTGGCGGGAGAAGTGGGGGGGTGGAGAGAGAGAGAGACTTACACACACACACGTGTATTGCCTCAGAGCTCTGGGAGTTAGACCCTGTGTAACATCAAGGTGCATCCGGAAGACTAGCTTCTTCTCCTCAGCCTTTAGACCAATCTTCTTGCCTAGTCACTGAGTCTTTCTTTTTCACGCCTCTGTTAGAATCTGTTTCTCTTAGAAGGACACCCGGTCATACGTACAATTTTGTGTTCCTGGGGACTGACTGTTAGAAGGACACCTGGTCATTCACGCAGTTGTGTGTTCCTGGGGAACTGACTGTTAGAAGGACACCCGGTCATACGTGCAGTTGTGTGTTCCTGGGGAACTGACTGTTAGAAGGACACCCGGTCATACGTGCAGTTGTGTGTTCCTGGGCACTGATTGCAAAGTGCTCTGTGGGCCCTGTCACTTGTCACTTCATCCATACTTGGGACTTGATTTTTTTTTTTTAACTGCAGTTTCAAACAAACTTTAGAGTCAAACATGACACATATACCTATGACCACTGTGACTCCTCCCTAGGGGCCATTTTATGGACACTATCCTGCCTCACACAGCATACCCCAAGACCAGCCCATTCCATCCCAAACCTTCCATTTGTAACCATGTCTACAAACTAAATCTTTGTCTTTAAACAAAGCTTTAGCTTAGATATTTAATTAGGTGTAAATGTGTGTGGGGGGAGATAGGTGTGCACACAAGTGCAGTTGCCCTTAGAGGCCAGGAGAGGGTGTTGGGTCCCCTGGAGTTATCTAACATGGGTACTGGGGACCCAGCAAGAGTGGTATAGGCTAGGGACTGGAGCAATGACTCAGAGGTTAAGAGCAGTGGTTACTCTTCCAGATCTCCTGAGTTCAATTCCTAGCAACCACACGGTGACTCAACAACCATCTATAATGGGATCTGGAGATCTCTTCTGGCCTGTAGGCAGAACACTGCATATGTAATAAATAAATCTTTAAAAAAAAAAAGAGTGGTATAGGCTCCTAATTACTGAGTCATCGCCTCAGCCCTGAAGTATTACATGAAGGGCAGTGTCTACACTGAGTTACAATTCTACAGGGGCCCACTGGCCTGGAACATGGGAGATGCAGGGCGTTCACTGCAGGGTGACATGGGAGTGTGCCATGGCTCCAAGTCCAGCAGGACAAGAAGACTCAGCATGAGTAGACATGGTTACAAATGGAAGGTTTGGGGTGGGCTAGGCTGGTCCTGGGGTATGCTGTGTGAGGCAGGAGAGTGTTCATGAAGTGGTCCCGCAGGGAGTGGTCATAGGTATATGTGTCACGTTTGGCTCTTCAGCAGTTCCACGAGACTGAAGAAGGCACTTCTGTTTCCATTTCATAGAGGAAACTGAGGCTGCAGACCCAGTTCCAACATCAGTCTCTCTCATTTTTTCCAGGGAGAAGCTTGGCAACATGGAATCTGTTTATATTCTGGACCCTGAAGACGCAGAGCTGCTGTTTTTACGCGAGGGTCCCTACCCAGAACGATACGTTTTGCGCTCCTGGCTTGCCTATCACGAGTATTACCAGAAACCCATGGGGATCCTGTTTAAGTGAGTTCTGAGTGAACCCTGTGTGTATGGAGGATGCTGGAGGGGGAGAGAGTGGATCTTCTCATCTTCCTGCTCCATAAGGCAAATGATGGTGATGATGATGGTGATGGTGGTGATGGTAGGGAATTGTGCTGCTGACTAACAGAAAGATGCCAGGCTGAGGTTCTTCATGAATGGTGAAGGACTTTGCCGAGTTCTCACTAATTGCTTTAAACATGAAGTGCCTCTTTATCAAGCACCTGCTGAGTACCAGGCCTTGTGCCAGGTGTTGGCAGCACAGTGGCAAATAAAGTGGGGTCCTGACAGCCTGCAGGAACTGTGAGAAGCAGCAAATTCATCAGTGAAATGTAGACACTGTTTTCTACCAATCTGCTTGTTGAAAAATGTATTTATATATTGCTGGGGTTGAGCCTCGGCTCTGGTTCAGGTCCTGGCACAAGGAAAACTTCTGACCACCAAGTGGATTGAACTCAAGTGGCCCTGCATAGCTCAAGCCATATTTATTTATACTTAACAGAGTTTTTCTTACCAGGCTTACATGAACAGTTTTGTTATTGGCTCCTATTTTTGACTTTAAGAAATACATCATACTTTAAGGAATACATTGTAGTCATTATGAAAGCCCCCATTGTTCCCCCTTTTGCTTCCCCAAATACACTTTCCCACCCCCTACATAACCATATTCCAGACAGAGAGTTCAGCGTTTTTGCAAGCTTAACTAAATATGGAGCCAGACACACCCTGCTCTCACAGCGCGTATGTCAGCTGGCAGCTACTTGTGGTTACCAAGTTAAAAAGTAATAGAAAACAGGTATTAAGAACAACAATATTCAAATCCAAACAATTCCCTCATGTCTGCAAGATAGGCTTTGATACACTCCTCTTTTATGCAAGAGGGTCCCATGTCTCAATCTCTGTAAAAGGCAGACACTGATAAAGCTCCCTTTTCCCATCTCACTATACCATACTTCTTCCACCGATATGAGCTCCTGTGTATGGTAAAGATGAATCCATCCATCCATCCCAAAGTTTGCATTGTATTTTTTCCTCTTGGAGCATACCAGATCCTACCAATGATTCTATGGTTGGTGTCCAGGGAACTTACTCTCAACAGCTGGCACTATGTGTATTCCCGAGACTTTCCCCCTATTCTGTGCCTTACTCTCCTCTCCAGAACTGTGAGACACGGTTAATGTCCCAAGTGTTGTTTCCTCATATGTACCTAAACTATCTCTACTGAGTCAGAAAAGTTTCTAGGATTAGGAATTCCAGATAAGAGACTTGAGAAACATTAGCCGCCTGCTGAATCTTAGAGGAAAATATTTGAAAAAGAATAGAATTTCCAGGGAAAATTACAGCTGTAGCATGAGGCTGACAAAGTAAAACTGAAAACCACCCAGAGAATCAATAATATAATGAGAGAGAAAAGAGTCTGTAAATTGCATGAATTTTACAAATTCCTATGCTCTCCTTGCCAAGTGAGAGTCAATTCCCATGTGTGCCTTGCCCTGAAGAAACCCACTGGACAGTCATGTGCTGATCTGAGCGTAGGCTGCACAGATCCCAACTATATATACGCAAACACTATATATACGCAAACACTATATATACGCAAACACTATATATA